CTACGCACTGTGCTAAGTTTGCCTTGCTAATTCTTGTTGCTTGTTTCCACTATTTCACTTTGCTAAGCCAACTACAATCAAGCGCAACTATGCCGCTGCTATTCACTTGATCATGTGGTTGTTGGTTTTGTTGGTATTTGTTAATATTTCTATTATAAGAATGTTTATCTTTTAGGTGTGCTCGTCCTTAAGTTATTTGTTATTTTATGGCCTTACAACAATTATATTCAACAATTTTTGGTGAGCTTGAAAACTTAAGTGAAAACTTATTGTGGAAAAGCAACAATAATTTGAAAAAATGGTAGAAGTGATAGCTATTTCGGAAATCACCACATTTCCTCATCAGACTTCTTTCAGTAGGATTCGAACCGACGATTACTGACTCAGCCAGTTGCCTACGTACTGTGCTAAGTTTGCCTTGCTAATTCTTGTTGCTTATTTCCACTATTTTACTTTGCTAAGCCAACTACAATCAAGCGCAACTATTTCGCTGCAATTCACTTGATCACTTAAAACGGCCTCAAGCTCATAAAAATTGTTAAATATAATTGTAATAAGGCCATAAAGTAACAAAAAAAAAACAAATAACTTAAGGACGAGCACACCTAAAAGTTAAACATTCTAATAATAGAAATATTAACAAAAACCAACAAAATCAACAACCTTATGATCAAGGGAATTGCAGCGGAATAGTTGCCCTTCATTGTAGTTGGCTTAGCAATGTAAAATAGTGGAAATAAGCAACAAGAATTAGCAAGGCAAACTTAGCATTTTGCATAGGCAACTGGCTGAGTCTGGCTGGTCCTACTGAAAGAAGTCTGATGAGGAAATGTGGTGATTTCCGAAATACCTATCACTTCTACCATTTTTTAAAATTATTGTTGCTTTTCCACAATAAGTTTTCACTTAAAACGGCCTCAAGCTCATAAAAATTGTTGAACATAATTGTTATAAAACCATAAAGTAACAAAAAAAAGCAAATAACTTAAGGACGAGCACACCTAAAAGTTAAACATTCTAATAATAGAAATATTAACAAAAACCAACAATCACATGATCAAGTGAATTGCAGCGGAATAGTTGCCCTTCATTGTAGTTGGCTTAGCAATGTAAAATAGTGGAAATAAGCAACAAGAATTAGCAAGGCAAACTTAGCATTGTGCATAGGCAACTGGCTGAGTCAGTGTTGATCGTCGGTTCGAGTCCTACTGAAAGAAGTCTGATGAGGAGATTTGGTGATTTCCGAAATACCTATCACTTCTACCATTTTTTCAAATTATTGTTACTTTCCACAATAAGTTTTCACTTAAAGCGGCCTCAAGCTCATAAAAATTGTTGAATATAATTGTTATAAGGCCATAAAATAACAAAAAAAAAAATAACTTAAGGACGAGCACACCTAAAAGTTAAACATTGTAATAATAGAAATATTAACAAAAACCAACAAAACCAACAACCACATGATCAAGTGAATTGCAGCGGAATACTTGCGCTTGATTGTAGTTGGCTTAGCCAAGTGAAATAGTGGAAATAAGCAACAAGAATTAGCAAGGCAAACTTAGCACAGTGCGTAGGCAACTGGCTGAGTCAGTGGTGGTCGTCGGGTCGAATCCTACTGAAAGAAGTCTGATGAGGAAATGTGGTGATTTCCGAAATAGCTATCACTTCTACCATTTTTTCAAATTATTGCTGCTTTTCCACAATAAGGTTTCACTTAAAACGGGCTCAAGCTCATAAAAATTGTTGAGTAAAAAAGTTATAACAAAATTGTTCATAGGTTAATTTTGCGAATGCTTGTTATTCCGATGGTGCAGCAGCAAATTCGGCAGGAGATGCAGCTAACATGGCTGGACTCACGAACTTAGTCTGCATAGTTTCTCCAAGGGCCTATATATATAATAAAAAGTGTTGTGTGCGCGCTTGTAAACGAATGTATAGTTCAATATAAAGCGAAAATTAATTGTTCTTGCAACCGAATGCATAGTTCAACTAAAATTTATCTTTGGTGCGGTGGTACGGTGTAGATTTTTGCCCACTGATTTCGGGTTACTGTGTGTTATCGTGTAGCCGGAGTATTGAAGTTTAATTTAAAACTAAACTCCGGATTTACGAAGCACTAATTTTATTGATAAGTTCGGTTGGAATTATTTACGGGTACGGTTTAGTTATTTGTACAACGATTTTGGGTTGCTGAGCCCAAACGCGTGACCCGAACAAAAAACTTTTACTGACACTTGTAGACAAGAGTCTAAGCTTCATTAAACAAAAAAAAATTACTATATCTGTGCACTAATTTATTAATAATTTCGGTTTGATATATGGTATTTGCAAATTTCTGAGCTTTGGGTGCAAAGGTGTTAGGCATTTTCCTCCATATAAAAGTAATTATGGATCGTACTTTATATGGGAGAAAATGCTCAACACCGTGGCTGTAATTGTTCAAGTTTGTTGAATTTTTATAAATTTTGGACGAAATTTGAAATGTGGTGTTGGTTATGTAATGTGCTATACTTAAAAAAAATATATAATCATATCTTTTAATATAGTTAATTACGTATTTCTTTTTTAGAAAACCAAACCCTTTTATTAAAACAATGGCCATAACTTTTTAGTTTTATTAGAAATATATGTATATATACATATCATAAGAAAGGTTGTTGAATTACCTCAACGAGCTCTATTATTTACTTATGCCTCATTTACAAATGAGCATCCAGTGGTATGTAAATTGGACGTCGGTCTTTCTAATCCGTCTGACATATTTTCTAGGTAAATGGCGCAAGTGCTTGTTCGTCTGAAGATGACGGCGCCGTTTTAAGCGCAACAGTGACAGAGCTGATGGAAACATCAAGTGATTCAGATGATTCTGATGATGACGAGATATACCAAATAATTATGGATCATTCTGATAGCGAAGATGATAATATAATGGTGGAGCTACTGAGGGATGGGGAGAGGAAAAAGAGGAACAGTATTAAGAACTACTTGGAGGAAGTAGTGCCTAATTATACGGAGGCAGAATTCAAGATGCACTTCCGCATATCGAAGGAGCTGTTTTTAAATTTATCTGCTAAATTTGAGGAAAGCGATATTTATAAGAGTCTTCGAGTCGATAAGCGGTTACCAGGGACGACAAAGATGGCGGTTTTCTTATGGTTTGCCGGCATGCAGCTTTCGCGATTTATCCGACCGCTTCAACATATCGCTGTCGAGTGCTTTTCGCATTGTCAATAGAACGACAATGTTCATTAGTAGTTTGAGTCCAGAGGTGATACGATGGCCTACTGAGGACATGAAACGAGAGGCGGCACTCTTTTTTTAGCAGAAAATGCGGCTTTGCAAAAGCAATCGGTAAGTGCTAAAAACCATAATTGTGGCCATAAATTTGAAAGTGGTGTAGGTCACTTCACATATTTTGTGCTTATAAATATATTTCTTAATACAGTATATTTTGCTTAGCTGCACGTCCTTCTTTGCACGCAAAACTTGTGCACGTAACCACATAAAAGGCACTTAACCGAATTTTGTTTACTACTTCAATGGCAAAGGCATCCGAACCGGTATGAAACCAAATAATGGAGAAGCACTTGCCACGTAGAAATTATTGCAAGCGAAATTTTTACCTAATGGTATTCTTATCTATATAACTACATAAATTGAGAGCAATTTTCGTTGTTCTGCGAGATGAGCAAAATAAATAAAAGCTTGTGAAATAAGGTAATTGTAGGGCCAGTGCAGGTAAACGTAATACTTTCTTTGATAATTGATACTAGTTGCACAACTTTTAAGGCAGGTAACGCCAATGTGCAGGTATGTTGAATGCATCTATCGGAGCAGTTTCCTTATAAATGTTAAAAATAATGCCTCTAATGCGCATTTAGGGGTAGGTATCTTAAACGTGCACTTAAGCATAAAGGCCGCAAAGCAAATATACTGTATATAAACATATCCTTAAATATAGGTTGCATTGATTGAACGCATATCGTCATCGATCCTCCAGCTGAGCGGAAAGATACTACATTGACCGGAAAGGCAACATCACCCTTACCATGCAGACCGATGAAAACAAAAAATTTATGAATATATTTTTTGGCTCTCCCGGATCTATTCACGACAGTTGGGTTTTCCAGTACTCGACTATTTTCCAAAAATTGTCATCGTATTGTGGAGGTAATAATTTGTTTAAGTATCTTAATTTTTGATTGACATATGTACTTATGTATAACATAAGTTACTGCTATAATACTTATCTGCATGATTGTAATATGTTCACCTTTGAATTTAAGATGAAAGATCTATTTTGGTGTAGCAAAATAACCAATGTCAATGGCACTTTATTTTGAAACCTATATAAACGGTTATATGCCCTATTGTTTTTAATCTTACAGATTATTACTTACTAGGAGACTCTGCCTACCCGTGCACTCAGTAAGTAATTACACCGTTACAAGGATAATGGTTACTTGACTCCTGCGCAGAAAAACTTCAATGTGGTCGCGTTGAAATTAGCACACATTTAGAATACTTAAGCAGCGGTGGAATACTTAAGGGGTAGTAGGAATTTGTGCCACTTTATCAGGGCGTGTTGCGTCTTGAATAATATTGCAAACGAGAGTGATTTGGAATTTTCGCTAGAAATTTCCATTGAAGAAAGACATGAAAATGAATGTGGTGAAACATTCAGAGGAAACTCCGTCCGGGATGCAATTTGTAGGAATTTGCTACCGAGGCAACAATCGCTAAATATTCCTTAATTTTAATATGTACTTAGTTTAAGATTTAGATTAAAAATAAGTTTAAGCATAAGATTTAGTTTAAGATTAAGATTAAAATTAAGTTTAAGATTAAGATTTAGTTTAATATTAAGATTAAAATTTAGTTTGATATTAAGATTTAGATTAAAATTAAGTTTAAGAATAAGATTTAGTTTAAGATTCAGATTATATTTAAAATTGATTAAACAATGAACTTAATAATTGATACCTCAAATTTGTCAAAAAGAAACACTTATTATTTCACACAGGTTCACGAGTGTAAGTATGTATTATGGATAAGGAATGGGCACTTGCAATATTTGCCAGCCTTAATTAGGCCATAGATCGCCTTTGTAGAGGATAATAATAGGTCGTGGCCAAAAGCCTGTTTGCTCGTTGTGCAGATTCGTCCTCTTGAAATTGCGCTCCATAGTCCGAAATTTATTCTCAATCTGCGCTGTTGAGAAGTTATACCCTTCCGCTGCCATACGCTCAGTGATAATTTTCCACATTTTTATCTTGTTTTTCACGGATGCGCTTTTCCCCACCTTAGGCCGCAGCTCCTCAATAAGCGCAAGCATTAATTTTACTGGGGCTTCAACCCATGCTTGCTTCTCTGCGGAGCCAAACATTCGTTTGGATGGAATCTTCGCTGTGAGCTTTGCATTTCCAGTGCCTCTACCGGATTTTGAGCCGCATGAACTTCACCAATTAGCTGCGTTGAGAAGATTACTTCATTGTAATCTTCCCGATTTTCTAGCACTTAGGAAGCTAGCTGTTGCCGGTAGACTTGATCTGGAAAAAGCCCATGTTACGTTAAGTTGCGAATTATTCATTTCTTTATTAATAAGAAAATCCCAGCTGCACGACAATGAAAACAAAGTGGTCTTTTTACTTGACATTAGTTTTGTTGTTGCCATTCTTCGGATTAAAAATTTCGTTTTTTGCGTTCCTTTACTTTTTCCTATTATTCTCTTTTAGTGAGCGCATTTTGCTTACACTTAACACTTAAAACTTTTCAGATTTTAGTCCAAAAAGATAAGGAATGGACCTAATAATTCAAAATTAAAATTAATTTGAGCTTAAATACTAAACAATAAATAATTAATCAAATTGAATAATTTAAGAAACCATGTAATAATTCGGAGTAAGTGTTGAAACTTCTTTGCAGGATAAATATATTAAACTAGAAAAATAACTATCCTTATCAAATCAAATCAAATCAATAAGTTTGCAAAATCTATGAATATCAAGAAAAAAAACAAAGGATGGAAAGTGATGTTCAACAAGAAATAATTTTTAAGCAAAAATACCATGACTTCAATGCTCATAAAAAAAAATTTGGATTACCGTTAACTTCTTCATGACACGATGATTAGTATGGGACCACCCTTGAGATACCGCCTTTCCTATAAAAAAGAATAATCGAAAACGGTTCACGTGGTCCAAAGTTACCCCGTAATATATGTACATAAAATATAATAAAGATTCCGAAGAATTGATAAACTTCCTCCTTTTTGAAGTCAGTTAATAATAAGTTTTGATTGCATATTTTCATATTAAAATTCTTAACTAATGTACATTGATTATTTTAATTACTATAGCATTTACCTAAATTACATCTAAATACGTTTATATAAGCTTAATTTTTGTTTTAAACACGAAAAAATTGACATACTGTAATCTTCTATTATGTTAAATATGGGAATAAACTGGAATGGAATGACTGTAATTATAGTAAACTAGTAATTTTAATGTTTGTTTGCGGTTCTTCTCTCGATGCATTCCCGATGGGTCAATCGAAACAACCTCCTAACGCTTTCGTTACTTTCTCGATAATTGAACGGATCGAAAACATTACCGTTTGTCATTAGTTTCTCGATAGCAAAACGGATCGAAATAACTTCCGCCTGAGATATGTTTCCACTATCGAAAACAGTTCGAAAAACCTTTTGAAAACGCATGTCGAGAACAAGAGTTCTGCTGCCACAAACTGAGCGACAGGTAATACTTTTACGATACTTTTTCGGAACCTGTTCTCAATAGTTTGGTAAGTGAAAGCGTTGCTAAAATATCTAAAATGGATGCACTCTCGTGTATGTTGGTCGGGTGGGTTATTGTTTTTCTTATCATTTAGTATTCGGCAGCACAGATGAATTTGTATGCACGACAACAAAACATTGCAACAAATTTTAAAACAGATGAAATGGAACTGCGTAAGTTTATTGGAATCTTGTTTTTCATGTCGACTTTTCGTTTTCCGAATGTGCGTGCCTATTGGGGAAGATATGCATTTTAACCAATAAGGCAAACGATGATCCGTCACAGAGTTGAAGAGCTTAGAAGTAAGCTGCATTACAATGATAATTATAGTCTGATCAAGAAAGGTGCACCAGGCCACGACGTTTTCTATAAAATAAGACCACTTATCAAGCACTTCAACGAAAGATTACGCGACAACGACTCTGTGTTGAGCAAATGTGTCCTACAAAAATGCAAGGTAATCCAACTCGACAATATATGCCCGCTGAGACCCACAAATGGGGAACGAAACTGTTTGCTTCATGAGATATCTCTGGTTTTTGTAACACATTGGAAATTTACGCTGGTGCTGGAGATAACGTTGTTTTCGATAATTGCCCAGATTTGGGAACAGCATCGAATGTTGTAGTTCGATTAGCAAAGCTCATTCCAAATAATGTCAATTATATAGTTTACCTTGACAACTTGACAACTTTTATGCTTCTCTTGGCTTAGTTCTTTAACTGAAAAGTTGTGGCATATATAGTTTGGGAACAGTACGAACAAATAGAGTACCCAATATAAAATTATCATCCGATGCAGATTTAGAGGCTAGAAAAGGGGAGAGGGGTTATTCAGAAGAGTACGTAGGAACGGCATTCGGTACCGATATTGTAAATGTATTACGGTGAGATACAAAAAATGTTCGTCTTGTTTCATCCTACGTGGGTACAGAGAATTTCTTATCAAAAAATATGAACAACTCTACATATACTGTGACGCGTTGGAACAGCGAAACAAAGCAACATGTTGAAATAAACTGTCCAAAAATGATAAGGGAGTACAACGAAAACATGGGCGGAGTAGACTTGCTGGCTGGTTTGGTTGGATGGTATATGATTCGTATGAAATCCCGAAAGTGGACAAACTGGATCTTTTTTCATTTGTTGGATGTAACTATGGTGAACGCATATATCTTGTTTCATCGAATTCATCAGAATACAAAAAAAAAAAAAAAAACACTACCTGACTTCGCATTTGCATAAGCAAATCCACAACGACAAAACGTGATCGACCTAAATCTGATACTCTTCCACTAAAACCAAAACGAACAAAAATTCCAACTGAAAATGTTCGCTATGATCAAATTGGGCATAGATGTACTCTTTTGGACAGATCTGGTAAAAAAAAAATGTGTAAAATGCCTGGATGCAAATCGGAAACACAAGCTTTTTGTGAAAAATGTCTAGTATATTTATGTAATTCAACAACAAAAAATTGTTTCTTCAATTTTCACAACAACCTTTAGTTTAGTATTGCATATTCTTACGATTAAAAAAAGAAGAACATACATTTCAACCAGTAAAACATTATTATAAAATTCATATAAATCATTTGATTTACCATGCGAGTGCCCGACTCCGCCTCAAGGCGGAGTATACATTTTCACCTGAAACAGGTAAGCGAATACTCAAATAAATAAACTAAATTGAGATTCGTGTTTCCCACCCTTAAATTATTCTAATATGAGTTTTTGAACTCAAGCAAAAAATTTGGCATTAGAGGGTTAAAGCAGTAAAAAATCCATATAGCAACAAGTGAATTACTTTTAGGTGATTATAAAAAGGGTGGCAAGCTTTATCGGACAACAACCTTTCATTTAGTAGAAAAATACCATATTTTCCAAATACAAACTTTCGTAAGAGCAGTCGAGGTTATATCAACACAATAAGGGAAATCACTAGGGCAACCAAAAATGCAATGCATAAAAAGCAAATAAGAATTGTAAAAAGATAAAGCGTTTTAGCCATATTTATTAGAGCATATTTCGGCATATTTCGCAATAAATGCATTTTTTGCATATTTTAGAAATAAATGCTAAATCTAGTGTACAAATATTCAGTTTGCAACACTGAGTTATGTTCGTTGGCTTGACAATGTAATTTTTCGAACAAGCCGCTTGTAAGGTGTATTTCGCTCCTAAAAAAGTAAGCAAATGGAAAGCAGATTTGCATAGAGATAAAATCGCCACATAACTTTTTTATCCACTAGTTACCTGCGTAAATAGCTTTGAGAAATTCATGAGGACAACATTGTGTGCACTTATGCGGGGTTAATATTAGAATGTTGAATTTACTTCGAAAAGATTTTTACTTATTTTAATTCGTGCTTAATTAATAGGGAGCAGAGGATCGCAAAATCTTGAGACAATGCGCAACAGTTCTTACAAGAAAGCTTCACCTCTGGCAATTCACAATTTAATAAATATTTGTGCGAGGCATTAGTAGCAGCAGATATTCCACTCAATAAAGTGAGAAATCCACATCTTAAAACTTTGTTTGGAAAAACACACCAGCTTCAAAACACACACATATCGATGACGCGGGTGAAGTCTAGAAAAAAGAAGTCTGATGAGGAGATGTGATCTCCGAAATAGCTGCTATAACTTTTACCGCTTGGACTTTGTTGACTTTGTTATTTTATAAAACTATTAAAATAAAAATCTTAATAATAATAATAGATTAGCGCTTACACATATGTTAGTGTTTGGCCGAGCTTCTCCTCCGACTTGTGGCGTGCGCCTTGATGTTGTTACACAAAGCGAAGGGACCGTTTTACGCCGACTCCGAAAGGCGATTGTATTTTTATGAGAAGCTATTTTTCATGGCAGAAATATACTCAGAGGGTTGGCATTGCCTGCCGAGGGACGACCGCTGTTAAGAAAAAACCTTTTCCATAT